ATTGTATATTAAAAACTAAATAAGTTAAATTTTTGGTATTTATTACAATTTGTATCATTCACTTAAGAATGTCCAGTTCTCTTATCACCTGCTTTTAGTGGTTACTTGTTGCTTAAGGCATCTGGATATTAGAGAAACTCAATATACAAAAATATATTCAGTAAGTTTTCCTGATACCAAAGCAGTATTCAGAAACATGATTTTAAAATATCTGCTTAACTTGTGATGAGTGCTCCAAAAGTAATGACACCAATTTATTTCTGTAGAAAAAAAAGTTGCAGAAAGCATCATAACATTGTTAAATAGAACAAGTTTTCAGGTAGAAAATGCTAATTTTTACTCCGTCACCACCACTAGCTACACATTTCCACTGGTAATGAACAAGAGTTTGCATTTTATGGCTTGATGGTTATGCAGGGCCACTCAGAATGTCATGCACATCACTGTTACTCCTGTTGAAATGTATTGCCCACTATCGGACTGTGCTCACATTCACTATTTCATTTCCATAAACAGAACATATAGGAATTCAGTGACACACCTCTGCTTCATATGCTCTTTCATATCAGATGCCATTTTACTAAACTGTCACCTATTTGCTATCAGTAACAAGGAACAAAGAAATCATGGGTAGGTTCAACCTCTACTACTATACTAACCAACATCTGATGTTGTGGACCAATATATTAAAATAAGAAGCATCAATTTCTGAATGATCCTCAGAGAAAATTTGAGACCTGCTTACCTGACAGAAGGGATTACACCACTAATGTTATTTCTTAGAATACATTAAAGTACTAGTTATTACTCAAAACACATTAATCTTTCCTATGCATTTCAAGTGAAATGCATATTGGATGTTTGTCATGTTTATTTTGTTGTTTTCTTTGTTAACTTGTCCAAGATTTTATGCTTCTCAGTTTTTTGTGCTAATTTGAGGTCTGCCATGTTGAGACTTGTATATCTCCAGCTTGACCTTTTTAATTGCTTTAAAAAATCTAATTTATAAAGGCCTGGTTCATGATATCAGGGCATTTTAACCTTAACAAAATATCCTCAGACATCCTGAGGAGTACTTGCTTTCCTTAACATTAACCTATTTTGTCAACCCCCCACCTTACCAAACAACTGTACAGTTTCAGTTTGCATCCTTCCACAGCAATTGATTTCCTTGTCTATCTTTTTTTCCTTACTCTCCACTAAATTCCCTGGCTTCTCTCTCTACTATTCAATCAGTTTTTACCACTGGGGGTCCACCTGTCAGTTTTTCATTTCTTGTCTATATTAAAAGTTGCACATTAGCAGCAGGATTGAAGAAGGCACAGGTGGTGTGTCACCTGATTGACTATCTGATCAGCTAGGTAGACACAAAATAACATTAACATGAAAGGTTATTCAACTTTATCTTAAAATAGAATCAAAGATTTTCTTTCACCTATATTGGTTAATTTTTGTCTGATCTATATTTAGCATCACACTCAAACATAAATATAATAGCACCTTTCAATCCGTAACACTTGTATTAATTCCTGAATACTGACAATCCCTGTTTTTTCTTATATTCGAAGCATACAGAGTGTGATAGTTTGCTTAAGAAAAAAAAAGTATTTGGTAAAAAAAAAAATTGCAAAATTTAATGTTTAATCATGGCCTTCTTTACTAAAGGCCAAGTCATAGTGCAACTCTCACCCAGAACTGGATGCTTATTTCAAATCTTGTTTCACTGGGAGCAAAGACTTTTAGTTTTGGTTTGGGTTTGTGGTAGTTCATTAAAGAATTTTTTTACATTTGGAATAACTTTGGTTTATTTAATTGAATAAGTATAAGATTTATTTATTTATTTCATTTCATTTTGGACTTATGTTTTCATTGCAAAAACAAACATTTTTTTATATGAAATTCACTAAAAAATATAATTTAGGAAGCTAGAGTGAATGAGCATTTGTATTTGTTTAATAAACCCTACCTATGATATTGTGGGTTACATAAACAACTAGCAGTAAAATAATACACAGAGGAGGTTTTGAACTCTATCTTGATAATGCTAACATTAAATCTTTTTCTCTGAACTTAACAATTGCCCAGAATTAAAGTATAATATCTGATTATCTTTTCCTTAAACAGTTAACAATAGGGAGTAGAGAAATAAATGAGAAAGCATATAACTATATGAATAGATAACACTGAGCTGGAAGACCTCTAGGCTTTAATTCATAAAAGCATTGAACATGTAAAAAGTGATCTTCACAAATGCTTATGCATACACACATTTGTTTTCTCTTTCTCACACACACACACACACACACACACACACACACACACACACACACAGGTGGTCTGATTAGTTTGCATTTGAAAACTCAGCACAACTAAATTTTGATACTTGCAACATTTTGGATTACTTAAATTAAGTGGGTTTACTTTGGTTGCTAATATGAAAATCAGTTCAAAATGCTAGGTTTTCCAAAGCAATATGATAACCTTTGTGTGTGTGTGTATATATGTGTGGAATATTGTTGTATTTAGAACTCACACACACTGTTTGGGAATTTTATAGGTACACCAGTAATTTCTGGACAGAAGAAAATATGAACTTCACTTATAGCTTTTGTACAGGTGTTGATACTTTTATTACCACAAGACTGCTTGGAATAAAGTCTTTGGAAAAATTTAATTTCACTCACCTTCAACCTGGCCCCCTCATTTCTGTGTTATGCAGACATTTTTATGTAACTACATAGATGTCAATTATCTTTTTACACAATTATTGTAGGGCATTTGCCATAAGAGTTTGCTGTTTAAGCAGGGTTCATATTTTATTGGGTAACCTATTATGGCCCAATTCAGATTTGTGTCATAACTATTTTCTCTCTTTTTTTGTATATGTGTATTCTTTATAAAATATTTTCTTAGGCCCTACATTTCTGCAAATGATTTCTGAAAGAATTCCATCAAATAATACCACAGTATGCTCCTTACAACATGAAAGAACATCTTAACTTAAATTGATTGTACAAGGTGTGACAAATTAATTCATGGAATAGCCATGTGAAAATAATTTACTTACCTGATCGATATTGGCTGCTGTCACCTTCAAAGTACACTCCTGGTAAAGCTATGTACCGTGATATGATAGTGCCATTACTGGGAACATTCTTGGAATACCTTTCATTAATGTCAGGGATGTCTGCAAGTCTTTCAAAGCATTTTTTAATTCTGAAAATAGCCAAAAATCACTGGGAACTAAGACTGAATAATGTGGATGGAACACTTTTGTAATGGATTTCTTAGCCAGGAACTTGCAAACTCCTAACAGATCAGGCATGAGCATTGATTGTTGAAGAATCCGTTTGTCAAGTCAGAGTTATGGTTTTTTGCCTCCAAACAGATTCTCATAACACTTTCAACACTTCCAAATAAACTTACTGATTGATAATTTGTCCTTGTGCTAAGAATTTCTAATAAACTATTCCCTATGATCTATGAAATGCACAAGCAATACAGATTTCAGTCAGCTCAGTCCACTGATGATATCCTGTCATTATTCACAGTCTGTGAGGCATTAGACAATAATTACATCTCAAGATTGATTGCATTAGATACATCGAAGACCTTTGACGACATGTGGCATAGAGGGTTGCTACACAAACTCTCCAACTATGGAATTGTTTGAAGAGTTTTCTCAATTATCAAGTCATTCCTGAGTAGGTCCAAGAAGGTAGTAGTTAATGGCCAGTCCACTGAGGCCCATAAGATCAATGCAGGTGTCCTCCAAGGCTCACTTCTTGATCTAACTCTCTTTCTGCTTCACATTAATTGTCTGCCTAAGGGTACACACTGATCATTTGTGTATATCTATGCAGAATGATATAATGGTATATGGGTGCACCTCTAAAATTCTAGATGACCAGAGCCTGGCAGCTGATTTTCCCCTCTGATCTACCACTATCAACTCAATAGGGGAAAAACTGGCTGGTTGCATTCAATACCTCAAAAACCAAATTAGTAACATTCCATCATCCTTGAGCAGATCTTGAATTTTTGTCTATCACAATGAATGTGTCTTCTCTCTTGAAGACCTTTTACTTTGAATGCCTCTTCGAACTTAAGCTCACCCAGACTTCAAGTGGAACACCTATATACAATCTGTCACTAAAGATGCTGTAAAAATGGTTGGTTCTCTGTACTGCTCGATTATATACTTGGCTTCTTTTGTTATGTTTTACCTTTAGAAGGACCAAATCAGACTGAATATGGAGTCCTGCTGCCATACTTGTGCTGGTGATGCCCAGTTTTCATTTCAAGTCTTGATTGAGTCCAAAAGCGTTTATGCAGCGTTTTGGGTGATGAATTATTTTCTAAATTACAACTCCTTTCTCACAGACAAAACATTGCAAACTTCTCCCTACTCTATTGCTATTTCCAAAAAAAAAAAAAATGTTAAGACAAACTGTGTTCCTTAGTTTCAACAGTTTTTAACCTTCATGGCTAAGATGTATAATGTCATGCAAATTGTAGTGAAACACTCTCATTCTATTCGTATTTCATTAGTGAGATGTAAGTTCCACTCAAACTGCTTCTTAGAAACTGCTGCTTTGTGAAACCAACACTCAAGCAGATGCTTTTCCAATCATTACAATCTTAACTCATTCAACTCTAGTTTCAATCATTATCTTTCTCACATATCCTCATAAACTGTGCCTCTTATCGCTGACACAGCTCCTTAAGTAACCCTTTAACTTGAGTGGGTCTTGGGCTTTGTGTAGGATGAACATTAGTGTTAAAAAATAACCATATCATAACTATATTTCTAGTACATTTTCCTGAATTTCTTAATTATATTTCTCAAATAATATTAAACACTTTATTTTTTTTTTTTTTTTAAGAAGAATGAAAACTTTCAAATTGTCATATATTTACCATTTTTTCTAATTTTTCATACAGTTATAATTTCTGTCTTGAAAAAATTCTTTAAAATATTTTGTTATTTTTGTTTACAGTTATTGTTGAAGCTCAGAAGTGCTTAAGCAATTTGATTTATAACAGTCAAAATGCACAGAGAAGTTGCAGGTAAGTAACTTATTATCACATATGTGCATGTGTGTATATGTGTATGAGCACTGATTCTTATTTAAGTTTGCTAAATGTTCCAGAACTGACATTGTTACTTTTTGAAAAATCCAAACAAAACATCTATTGGTTCATTCCATGATTCCATAGTAAATCCAATTGGCTTCTGCCAGATTATGATTAACCATTCTAATCTTAATGACATATACACATCCCAAGAATAAAAAAAAAATAACACATGCACTGCCTGACCCAATTCTCAAAATCTAACCAAACATCAGATTTTTTTTAGGTTTTCTGAGAACTTTTCAGCTGTGCCATCATGTGTGTGTGTGTATATATATATATATATATATATATATATATATATATATATATATATATATAATGTGTGTGTGTATCCTTTTCTTCTCCCTCCAGCTATGGGTAAATAGCAGGACAAACTGGGTTCTATAGCCTTGGATGTCAACTGGTCTGGGAGAAGGACAACTCTGAATTCAAAACCTGCGGAGGGTTGTTATGGGACCTTGTGGCACGTAGTGCACCAGGTCTCTATTTGGCCCTTCAAAAAGTGTGGATGGTCCTGCACGAAACCTTCACCACTATAATCAAATCTCATGTGCTGTTGTCGGGCTGTCGATTTCCTAGGAACTGATCTGCTTGACCCTCACACGTTGAATTTGATGTCGAGTGTATATATGTATATATATATATATATATATATATATATATATATATATATATATATATATAGAGAGAGAGAGTCATCCACAGACAGACTGTTTTGCTGTATCACAGATCTTCAGTGTGACTAGACTTCCGATTGCTTCAAGCCAGGATTGAAACTTGACTGATTTATCATCAGTCAGAGATTCTACCCCTAAGTTGTCAGTGTATGGCAGGGAGAAAGGGAAATTTTAACGTTTTCTATATGAAATATGCCAGTAACCAGGAGAGCTCAATTTGTGCTTGAAAGCAATACATTAATTGCAGCAGCAGCCACTGTTTTTATATATATATATATATATATATATATATTGTCTGTAACTTTTTCTTTATTCCCTCTCTCCCTTGTAGCATCAGGAAACAATGGCTTCTAGAATTGTTTACAGATATTGGAAGTGAAAATATCAACTGTGGTCAAACTGGGTATAAGAAGAATAATAGGAAAAAAATATATTTAAGGACTTGCATTTTAATAGTTATAAAGACTTCATATCAATTTCATATGTTTTTGCCAGCCTAGGTAAACTAGTCTGTTAATGATCTGCTGTGTCTCTGTGATATTGCCTCTTCACAGCTTCCTAACCTTTATACCAGTTGTTAATTTCTATATATAATTCCAGTAGTATGTTATATGATAGGCTGCTGAAATGTTTTCAGCCTAACCCACTGACCAAACATCAAAAATTTCTTTTGAATCATGTCAAGTATTTTTCAGCATCCCCTCATAATACTACTGGGATATTTTTTTTGCACTCCTAAGAAATTTATTTTATGATCACACCAGGTTATTTAACCCTTTCAGACCAACTTTTGAACAAAAATCTGTTTGAAAGGGTTAAATAACCAGGTGCAATGCATTTATGTGAAAGTAATTCTCTACTAAAATAAATTCATTACATATATTGATCATGTGAAACAATATCTGACTATCTGATTTCAACTTCCCAATACAGTCAGAAATTCAACCTGTTTTCTTCCACATAAATAGAACTTTATAATTTAATGATTAAAGATTTTTTAAATTTTAATGATTAAAGAAGGACTATTTACAATTTTTTTATAACTGTTGAGTTTATAGGGTCAAGTATTTTATATAAAGTGAAACTTGAAAAGAATTAAAAAATTAAGTTACTAAATAATTGACCCAAGACTTAGCAAATCCTTATCCACTTTGGCAGCTAAATATTAGTGTAATGCTCAGATATAGAAAGAAGATTAAATATTCAGTTTAATCAACTGTTAGAATGAGATATACTCACCATTTTTTTTCTGACTGATATACTGCAAGTTTTTTTTCTTTATTCCATTACTTATTTTGTTGAAAGTTTTCACAAAAATTATTCAACAACAGTTAAGTGTTTTGTGAATATATTTTATTAGCAAATGAACCAAAAAGATATCTATATTGAAGTACAAATTTTGTTTAAATCTGGTTCTATTTTGAGCTAGGATTTCTTTGTCATTAATGTTGTTGCTGTTGATTATGCTTACTTCAGATTGTTATCTTCCAGTATTGTCTATTTCTTCTGCTGGGATGATGGATTTGATTCTTGACAGCAAATTTAATTCTTACTATAATTTGACAAGTAACGTCTATTGACTAATATTGAAGATAAACTAGAAATAGTGATTTATAGTGAAGGGTTGCCAATAATCTTCAATAGTTGTGGGTTTCAATACTACATGGTACTAACCAAAAAGAAGAACATTAAGTTTAAGACACCAAGCTTTAGGTTCAACATTCTTCCATGGGATAATAACCTAATGGATTAAAGCATTGGTTCATGAATTTGGTTATATAGTAATTGTGAGTTCAATCCCTAGTCTGGGTAGTATAGACTTAGACTCAGTGGAAACAGGGTGAGTAATAACTGAGAAGTACTAAATAAGAACAAGGTAAGACATCTTTAAACATAGCAAAATGAGAAATAGAATTAATAAAATTTAGTGAGTTGTGGTGAATACAAAATAATAATAATTCCCTTTACCCACTCCCTTCAAATTTGGGCAAGCTGAAGAAAAAAACAGAAAGAAATTTATGAGCCTATGCAAAGTTTTCTTTGGACCAATGAAAAATTTGACATAGGCTCTGTGAATTTCTTTCATGTCAAATTTTTCACCACAAAATCATTAAAACTTAAGTTCTCAGAAGCCATTTTGATCTAAGCAGTTGATTATATATAATGATATGAAATAAAATATAGAAATCAAGTTTTGTTATAATAATTTGTTGAAGCTTTTGTTGACATTTTTTTATTTTTTCAGTATGAATGGCTGTGTTGAAGGAATTGTACAGAGACTTAAAACATATAAGGATCCAGAACTTAAGTATGAAATCAAAGTAAGTTAAAATTCTTACACTTCCTTCTGTTCACAATGCAATGTAATATTATCAGAGATTCTCAAATTTTTGCTCTTGGACTTTTCATGGTGGTCACTATTGGTCTGTTTGGCTTTTAAGTTTTCTGTTTCATTTATAGTCAAAATCTTGTTTGTATACAAATTTTCTATTAAAATCAATCAACAAGTTCTGTCTGTTTAATTGTTTTAATCATATTTTTCTAGTTTCCATATAAGTTATCAGACATCCTAATCAAAGTTAATCATGTTTTTGCTTGAGCACTTTCAACCATGTCAAATTAATATCAAGATTTTTTTATTAGCTTCTTCCTGGCATTTTTAAGAATGCATTTCCAATTTAAATATATGTGTATTGTATACAAATGACATTGTCAGGTTTTATGACCCCCTAATAGACTAATGACTTCTTCATCATAATGTTGATGAGGCTTACTCATTTCTTGTGATTCTTTATTGAAAGAAATGTATGTTCCAATTTACACCTGACTTTTCAAGTGATCCTGTGTCTGTGCACACCCACATTAAAAAAAAAAAAAAAAAAAACAATTCTCAGATTTCCTGATTGTATTTATAAGCTGAAAAATAAAACTTTTGGCTCAATTAATTACTGCTTGATAAGTTCCCTCCATAAAAATTTTGCTTAACACTAATTTTCCAACACTTTTTTCAAGGCACTTTTTGTGCCAATTTTCTGCTTGAAAATAAATTATTTATAAGTTTTCAACTCATCTTGTCATTACCTGTTTTGATCTTGGCCTCCAGACAACCCAGCTGGAATTTGTAATAACTGATGCTTCATCATACTGATATCATATTTTGGTATCTTGTCGAATCCATTACATTCACTTACATGTTAATACCCTTGGAAAAGGTATGAATCCTCTTCTTCTCCCACCCAAGTTCTGGGTAAATAATAGGACAGACTGGGTTCTATAACCTTGGATGGCAACCTACTGTGGGAAAAAAATCTGCCTCATCAGTCATGTATCAAAAGATACATGATTGCCTAAGTGTATATCACGCATGGCACATAACTGACTAAACCTTGTGAAATATTATTGACACTCATTGACAGAGATACGCTTGACTAATTATTATATGAAAACATTATCATTTTATTACTCATTACATGAAGCTTAGTTAAACCGAGTTCAGTCATTTAGTTAAACATACACATTAATTCTTATATAGTGAGTATGAATGGCAGTCAACAGTTTTTTTTCAATACTACATTTGATATTTTGTTTTATCATGATTTATTTGCTTTTTGTAATTTATATAGATATCAGCTCTAATTCAGGTTAATTATGTTTTAAAAGTTCATTGAAGATATCAAGTATTTTAAGTTATTTTTATTTTATTTTTTATGCATAATATAAAAGTGGAAGAATTTCCATTTGACTGAGATAATCTTTAATGCTTCATAGAGATATGAGTAGATCTTTAGAGGATTGTATTTGTAAATGAATAGTGACATATCAACTCCAGAAATTCTAACTTAACAGCTATATTTTCCCTAAAAGGAACCAATCAATGCTAAAATTGGAATTTTAACAGCTAAAATTCATTACAAACATCATTATTCACTAAACTATCAGGTTGGTTGCAAAAGTAATGTCTGATTTTTGAGAAGAAAGTTTTAAATAGCATTTATGAAATTTGTGCTTCTCATTATAGTTAAGGAATGTCACAATAAGTAATTTATACGTTTCTCTTTCAGATTATAAAAATATTTTTCTTGATCTTCTGCAATATTTGCACAAATGTTCATCCCATCTAAAGATCTCATTCGATACATTTTACTGTATGAGTTTCATAAATTTGTCAATGCAAGTCTATTCAGAGTGCTTATGGAGATGATGCAGTGAATTAAAGAAGTTGCAGAAGGTGGTTTTCTCATTTGTGAAGTGGGGATTTCAGTTTGAAAGATGGGCAAAAAATAGTCGTCCAAAAACAAATTTGATTCCGAAGAGTTGGAAGCTGTTGTCACAGACAATCCCACCATTACCTCTAGGAAACTTGCAGAACAATTTAATGTAGACCATACAACCTTGATACGTCAATTAAAAAGGATCAGAAAGATTTCAATGGTTGAGGAATGAGTCCTACACAAACTTTCTCCAGAGAATCTGCAACAGTGTGTTGCTTGTTGTGAATCATTGCTTTCGCAACACCTTCAGTAATCATTTTTAGGTAGGCTTGTTACAGGTGATGAGAAGTGGGTCCTTTACCATAGCATTAAATGCCACCAATTGTGAATCAATCGTGGATGAAGATCAGTTCAGTAACCAAGAAAAGGACTTCATCCAAAGAAGTTCATTTTTAGTGTATGGTGGGATATTGAAAGAATTGTCCATTATGAACTGTTAAACGACAATCAAGCAATTACAGCTAATCTGTACTGTGATCAACTTCGTCAGCTTTAAACCAAAAGCAATTTTCCTTAGTGAACAGAAAAGGTGTCATCATCCATCATGATAATGCTCATCCTCACACAGCTTGGTCAACTAAAAATCTTATGAGAGAGAGCTTGGTTTGGAAATATTGCTTCATCCACCATATTCTGATTTTGCTCTGTCTGATTATCACTTGTTTCGGGGACTACAGAATCATTTGGATGGTCTTAGGTTGACATCAAGAGAAGAGGTTAAAAATTAGTTGGATTTATATTTTGCTTCAAAACATAAGGAATTTTATGGGAGTGTCATTTATAAGTTTGTTGACAGATGGAATGATGTTCTAGAAAGCAAAGGAGGTTATGTTGACAAATAAATATTTTCATAATTCTGGCCTTTTCATTTATAATATAGGTCTTAAGTCAGACATTACTTTTGCACCAACCTGATAAATCAAGTAATACTTTTATAACAAGTATTAAATTCACATTTTGAAATATTTAAAAACAAATTTTGAAAACAAGATATTTGCCTTAAATATTAAGTTAATTTTCATAAAATTTATTTTTTCTTTTACTTTATTTATATAATAGAATTTATTAAGTTGATGTCAAGTTTCCAGTATTTTTTTTGGTTTTACAAAAGATTTTATTGATATAAATTCATAGGATCATTATTCAGTTGCCAAAGTACTTTCCATAGGTTATACAATCTTGTAGTTTAATTTTTACATAAAAAGAAAAAAATATCCAGTTTTGATTTTTATGGGAAGTTTTTGATGTCTTCTTGAAACTGCTGTCCAGACAAAATGTGTTGCATTGAATCAAAGAAATACTTTGAAGGTGATAGGTTTTGAGAATACATTGTGGGGGAATATCATATATAAATTTTATGTTTCGACTAATGGTGTGTAATTGAATGACAAAATGGAAAAAAAATCATCTTTTGTTTCCAGTCCCTACTCTCATATATATATATATATATATATATCATTCCATCAATAAAAACATGTAGAAGTCCTTTTGAAAGACGAAATGTGTAACATAAGACTTTTTTTTTTTCATTTATTCATTCAGAATACATTGTATATAGAAGAGCTTTCTATCTATTATTGATGCTTTCTATCTGTGATTGTTGTGTCACATTTACAACATGAGGATGGGAATTATCATGCCACAAAATCACATCAACTTATCGATGAAACTCTTTTCTTTTCTAATGTTTCATTCAAAATGAGTTGATTGATTAACATCTAATCTTTCTTACAAGTTTACATTTTGTGTCGCATCTTCATTCAGAAGTTTCTTCAATTCATCAGTTTTTTTAATTCTGAGAATTTCTCGTGTTCTTTTGTCCTTGAGCTAAAAATCTCCATTTTTAAACTTCATAATTTATTCCTGAAAAGCTTACATCATTACCAAAGGCTTCAGTTATCCATTGCCTAATTTACACTGTTTTTTCCCAAAATTAAACATCTTTCATATTTATCCATGATTTTTATCAAATTTATCACTTTTTTGTGACCAATTCTTAAAGAGCATACATACCAAAGCAATAAAGAACTTAGTAAACTTCAGACTCTTTCAAAAAGTTTCCTAAACCTCTACAAAGATGGTGCTAGCAAATTTTGCATCAACTGAATAATATTAACAATCCTAAAGAAAACAAACTTTGTGTAGGATTTTTGTTTTTAAATTTATTTACAACTAGCTTAAAAAACCACCCTATGAGGCAGCATTTAAGCTAGCTCTTGTGGAGGACTTTTGATTTGGCTTTCATCACAATAAATAGGGAGGAATGGATAGGCAACAATAAACTACAAAACAATTCAAAATTGATTGCTGCATTTAAGCATTGCATTAATATTTAAGCTTACCTTTTTAAAAGTTCAACAATAATTCTGGTACCACTTAAAGACACTTTGATGTACATAGGCCCTTACTTTCCGTACAATTATTTTTATTTCATGGGTAACTTTCACTGAATTTCTCAATTAATTTTGATTATCCCCAAATTTATTTTCAAGTCATAAAAATTGTTATTGTACAAAAAATTTTTGGTAATAAATCACTTACAAAAATCACCAAAAATAATTACAGTAATGAAAACTTGGGAATCCAAAATTTCAGGATTTTGGCCCCACATCTAGCAAGGAACATTTTCAATTTGCCAACAGTCGGCCTGATTCCAAAATGGTATATGTTGGCCTATAGCCTCTAGGAGTAAAGTTGAAAAGGTGTGACATTTTCATTTATTATATAGAAGTAGAGAATTATTATTGTTTGAAAGCCATCTGTATCTCCTTTTCATTTTTGATGTCTTTTTTTCTTGTCTTCACTTATTATAGTTATAAATTATTTTTATTTTTTTTTTGTTAAATTTATTCTTTCATTTTTTTTTTTTTTTTTCAGTTTTTTGACATGCGAATGCTCTTCTTATTAACTGCACTTGTTTCTGAGATCAGGTAAGATGCTTTTTATTGATTTTATATGTAACTTTTAATTGAATTTATATCTTTTCAGGTTTTAATTTCTATTCGCTATATGTTATACTGTAGACGAACATGATTTCATATAGTATTAATTCCAGACTGTTTGCTGTTATAGGTTGTTGTTTCAGCTGATATAGCTTCATGTAGTTTTCCCAAACCACTACTGAGATTTAGTAGGGTAAAAACTGATAAAACACTTAAAAAAATTAATATATTAAAGTTACATAATTACTGCAATTTGACTACTGTACACTTTAGATTAGATCTTTCCATGACTGAATCACATAATTGTCAATGTTTTACACATGTTTGGGGAAATGTAACATACATCAATATATTCTTTTTGGTACAAGGAGTTGGATGTTCTCTTCTTACTTTCTTTCTTTATTCTCTCCCAAGACCAACTAGTGGATTACCGCTGTTGCCAGAAACTTTTATGCCTGTATGTCAATCCAGCTATTAAAGAGAGAGAGAGAAAAAAAAAAACAACTATTGGATGAATTATACATTTGATTAATGTAGAACATCTCAGCTGAAATTGATATAACCAACAATGATGGTATTCATTTAAATAACTTGTGAAATAGTTATATCTTCTTTCAGAATTTAAGCCTTATAGGATGTTATCAAATTTAATGTTTTCTTATTTTACACTTATCTGATAAGATTTTTTATTTGAAATAATTACCTGTTTCCCTGCATTTTTTTCTCTGATTATTTAAAAATTATTTGACTTTGAAAGAAATTTTTTTTCCTCTTTCTTTTTTAAAATTTTAATCCTTTCACCTGAAGCAAGGCAATAAAGCCACTAAGATGCAAAGGGGTTTTTGAGTGTGAAAGAATATGGAAACAAGAAAACATTAGTAAGGAGAGAGAACAATAAAAGAACAGGAATTAAAAAGACAGAAGATAACAACTGACATTGCATTTAAATTTTTGAAGATTAAATTTGATTGGAAAGCAAATCTGGAGAGTTTCACAAGTGAGAAGTGCAAGGAAAGATACTGTTAGCATAGAACTTAGTTACATTTAGCCATTTCAACTCTAAATTGATGAGATCTTGCCACCAAGTACTGTGCTTAAATTCATAAAGTCGATGAGAAAAGCTCATCAGAACAATTACCATGAAAATATTTATAGAAAAGGCACACAGAAGCAGTGGGGATATAACTGAAGCTGAGATGCCAGGTCAGGACCAATAACATTGTAGATATTTTTTGTATTTTATCAATTCTCTCTAAATACATAGAAGCTACAGACCAGATGTGGCATCAACATTCAATGTATGGATAAATGGTAGACTTACAAATTGGTAAGATAGATAAAAATTGTCTAGTATGATACAAACTTTCCTAGCAGCAGACCTAGCAATTGATTCAGTATAATCTTTCTACTTCATGTCAGTGAAAAATGTTAGCCTGAGAAAGTGCAATGAGTCACTCTCCTGAAGGTTAGCATCAGCTATGCTGATGGAAAGCAAAAAAAAAGGTTCTCTAAGATGATTAAATGAGAATAGTTTTGTTTTGGAGGCATTAAGATTAACAAGTCATTTCTTGCTCCAGTTAACGAGCAATTGTATGTCATTTTTGAGCTAAGCTGCCAATTTGACCATATCAAACTGATCAGACATACCATTAAGACAGGATGATTGTGTCATCTGCATAAATGCCAAATTGAAAACTGATGATATCAGGAACGTTGTTGATAAAAATTAAGAACAATGCAAAAGCAAGGATAGAGCCCTGGGGGGACACTTGCATTAATGCAAAAAGATCTAGAAGAGTGGCTGTTCAAGACAACTTTCATTTTGTGATTTAATAAGAAAGATAGAATTAGATAAAAAAAATTGTCTATAAATGCCATAAGCTTTCAACTTGTGAAGTCAAATGCCTTTGAGATATCCAAAGCAGCAAAACAAGTGCATTTTAACATATAATAAAATAACTTTTATTTATTTACTGCCTGAAAACAGCAAAGGATTGTTTGGATTTAAACCATGAGTTCCATGTGCATGTCAGGTTATCACCATGTTGAATTCAGAAGTGCCATGTTCCCACTTGTGGACAAGGGACGTAACTCCATTGTATTTTGAGTTATTGGCATTTCTAGGGGGAAGTAAGTAACACCTCCTAATACCACCTATTTTTAGTCTTGTGCTTGTTTGACTTTTGTTGGGGATTTCATTACACTGGGTATGGCTTACTTTGTAATCAATCGGATTTCCTTGGTGCACTTTTTGCTGGAGTCCTATCTTTGTCCCTTGGCATTACTTGGGAACTTTGTTGAAGCTCTTCAAAGGTGTCCAATAGAATGTCCAACAGTAAAGTAGTTTAATTTGGTCTCTGGAAGGTTTGATGGTTGTAATTGGTTTGCATGTCAAACCCAGACTGAAGACTATATGCATATCTTATGTAACATTTCCAGAGTGGCGTATAATGCATCCTTGGATCCATTTTTCCTTACTGTTGTGGTAATCTTTTTCAAGTACAGGTTGTCCTGGTACATATTTGTGTTTCACTGCTCTATTATGGTTAAATTGTCCTTCCATCACCATGTTCCTTTTTAGGGAATGGATTCTAGTTGGATGAATGACATCTATGCGTAAACAAACTTTACAGTTCATTAGTGTTTCTGCTGGTGAATTTCCATTGGATGCATTTGGATTGGGTGTAGCTCTTTAACTTCCAAAAAATATTTCTAATATTTCTTGTGTGGTTCCCTCCCCTTTGAGTTTGAGGAGTACTTTCTTAAATTGTCCATGAAATGATTTTCAATATCGGGATTCAATGTGAAGTTAAATGTATTGAACAGATTTGAGAGGAATTTCAAAAAGGTTAAGTTGTTCTATCCAGACAAGATCAATTAAATTTAATTTTGAATTATCTGCAATATAACACATACCAGAAAATATCCTATTTCAAAAGGAAACATCACAAGTTAACTCACCAGTTAAACAAATTGCACTTCCAGATGTGCTCATTGCTATGTGATTTGTTTCAGACACATGTGCTTTTCAATTCATTCCAAAGTTGAATGTGATATTAATGTTATGTCTCATGCTGTATCAAACTGGAAATGAACTGGTTTGTCGTTTACAGAAACAACAATATATTTTCTGTGGGATTTGTAATGGATGGTGGAACAGGGTTTAGGAGAAATAACAAAAAAACAAAATTTATTAAGAGCTATAAAAGACAAGAAGTTGTGGAGAGCCATGATCACCTATGTACTGAGGGGACATGGCACATAAAGAAGATCATGGAAGAAAGGTACCAACAAACTATATCCCAAACAGGAAACAAGGGATAAATCTCTACTTCTGTTCAATAAACTTGGGAAGAGTACTTGTTAGGTGATAGGAAAACTTATAATCCAGTTTTAATTTGGAATATCATTTGAATGTAACAGAATAATGTCTAGTCATATTTATAATGCTTTAAACTTCATTAGTACTTGCAGAAAGGTTTTTTTTGCTAACTTGTAAAATCATTTTTTCCCACAATTATTTAGTAGCTTTGTATGGAACTATCAATCTATCAGTCACCAGTTCTTTGTAACTGATCTATTTCTGGATTAGGCACTGAATTTTATGTATTCAGATTCAGTGGAAAAATGTAGAGGACAGATTAACTATGCTTAATTATCTAATACAAGATTTCTGTAAAATGAAAACAATCTACTCTCATTGGTTGAATAATACACAGAAAATTATCAAACTTGAAAGAAGAAAAAACAAGGTACAGTCACTGAAATTTTATGACAGTAACAACCAATATAAGGATATTAGTTGAAATAGATCAACATATAGTAATAATTTTTCATCTCAGAAATTTAGATAGAAATCATCAATCCTCTACTGTGGAAATAAATCATATTTTCAGTTCTTCTATCAGCAAATGTTACTTTGATTTCTGTCTTCGGTATTTGGGCAGCCTTCATCAACTACTTACCATTAAATCACCAATGTTAAGCCTCTCTTGATATCTGTAACTGTACAGAAAATAAGTTTTGCACAGCAAACCTATATGTGAAGTTGAATGATCACCCATTGCACAGGGATAATCCAATCCCACTCTTTCAGCTTTCAAGTTTTTTGTTATGGATACAATGTGACACCCAACTGCTAGCCATTTTGTGAGTAAGAGTTAGCAGAAGGAGGTAGTTTATCACCAATCTACTTTAGGAGCTCCGTTTACAGTTTGGAACCAGAGTTGTCTGTTTAGACTAGTTGCCAGTCAACGTTAAAGCCCTGTCTGTCCTGTTGTTAACTAGAAATGGATTTTTAAGAACATTAGTGCAATACTTATAATTTGGTGACTTTTAGAAAAGTAGTATTTATTTTACTATTGATTTATTTTGCTTGTAGAGAATGTAGGTCAAAATACCTCTCACCCCCGTTCTGTGTACGCAACAGATGTGTAAGTATATAGAAAATAACAGTTGAACACTCTCCCTTACATCTGTGAGTAAAAGCCAGTGTCTGTTGGCTCTTTGGTTAGAAGCAAAAATCTAAAAGAATATTATTTGGTACTCTGTGACCATTAGAAAGGAGTTAATGTGTCATCAAAATATCATCCCTCCATTAACTTCTTTAATTGCTACATGCAGAAAACCTTCAGTCATGTAATAACAAACACACTATCTGTAACACGAGAGAAAATGGCTTACCTCCTGGACAAAAGTGGATTCAGACGTGTCTCACATGTAAAATATTCCCAAAAAGAAAATGGCAGCCTTATGAGTTGTATATTTAAAAAAAGATAGATCTCAGAATCTGATACTTTTGCAAGACTTTTTTTTCACCTATGCAAATTTGACCTGTCACTCAATCTATAAATAGTGCTTAAAGTGACAGAGTAGTGCAACTGTGGTAGCAAACAGGACAGGAGACATGTGTTGTTGGATTGTTTAACTGATGTTACTCTGTTTGGTGAAAGAAATGAATTAGGGATCTTTATAACAAACAAGAAGAAACTGACTATACTCTCAACACCATAAAGAAATTTGATTTTTTTATAATACAACCTTTTTAATGCAGTCATTATAGTCAAATATGAATGAGCTGTCATAATCACTCTTATATTATTGCCATTGTCACATCATCATATGTGGCTTGGTGTTTGACAAACTACAGTTATTGTTGTTCCATATTGGATTGTATCAGCTGTTTTGGCACTGTCTCAATTTCTCACCAAAAGTCAAAAGCTGTCTTTTCACCAAGAAAAAGGTTCTCTTACAATCATAAATAACATAACACAATGGGGTCTATACTGGCCACTTTTATTGTCCCCAGCATGGAAATGTTGCCAACTACTTGTCAGTGATTAAGAGGATACAGTGAACTTCCCTACCTCAGCCTTTTTTTTTTTTTTTTTTTTTTTTTTCAGATCATTTAATTGCTACCAAGCCAAAAACCTCACTGAAGTATTTAGGAGGGAGGAACTACATTTTTTTTTTTTTTTTACCAGGAAATTTTGCCTTCTTGCTAGTTGCTGGTTTGTCAGTTCATGATCCAATGAAAATTTACTGATACACTCTGCTTCCTTTTTTACTTTTTTGGGGGACTTGTGATTGTCAACTGACTCTATGAAATATATCACATTCTAGAAATATGATAAATTTCCAACAACTTGTATGTCTGTTTTTTCTTTCTTTTTTTTTTTAGTTAGATCTTTTTTTTCTTCTAATCCTTAACTTATTCTTTCCTCTTTTACACACACAATGTTACATTATTAGACTTATTCTATAAAAATTGAAAAATGTCTGCATGTTTACTTATCCTCAAATTTCAAAGGGATCAAAGGATTGTATTGATTTCTCTATAAGACATTTTGTTGGATTATTGACAAAGTCAGTAAGTAGCTTGTTCCTCTGCTGATGCCCAAATGATGACCTACTTGCATCACAGCATGATCAGCTCTGAAAGCAAATAAGTTGTACTCTGCTACTTTCTCACTAAATCTTTCATAACAACCATGATGCATTGATTAGCAACAGCATTGCCAAGAACAATATGCAATCAATCAGCTTATCTAATATTTAAAATATTAAACAAGCAGGTAATGCAGTTTTATGCTTGTGTCAGATAACAGTCAGGGGAAAATTGAGGAATTATGAATGTTGGTGTAATCATTACATCTTTTGGAGGCATCAGATTAGTGGTGGTTAGGTTAGGTAAAGAATAGTAACAATTTTTTTTTTATTTAGGTCAAACACTGACCTGATGATATATAGTTATTTACTAAGTGCAGCCTAATCTGGCTGAAGGCTGCACTAGTGGGCAACTGTAAGAATTGAACACACATCAGTAATAATTTGGTGTGCTAGACCAACTTGTTAACCCTTGTGCCATATTGGGTACATAGAGTTGATATAATATTACTCATGTAAGTTTTTCACAGACTCTCCACTATAAAGTTGCCCCCCCACTCTGAGTCTTAGGTGTTCTACATGATAACAAAAACTGACTCTATTTCAAAGGAATCATGGCTGAGAATAAATGACAGCAAATTATAATAAATATAGAAAAACCAAATGAAAATGAGTTTCTCTATTTTACTGATGTTGCTGAGACATCATTAATTTAATAATAGATCATAGTAACAACTTGGCAAATTTAAAACTAAAATCCACATGTAGATTATCAGTTAATAAACAAGAGTTTTGATTTCAGTCTGCATGGGAATGACTGCTAAAAAATTTCCTCCCCAAATTTATAGACAAATCATAGAGATACTTGTTGGGATATCTTTCTAACGAATAAAATGGGCCACTTCTCGGTTTCATCCGATATATTTTTGTTCTTGTCTTTAAATTGGAACACTACAATCACTTGACTCTATCTATTTGCGTGTTAACACCATTCTTATTTTGTGAACTTTTTGCCTTATTACTGTTGTTTTGCCTAATTTTGTATTTCATATATATTGTTTGCTTAGTATTATTTTGCCCTGTTCTTTTTCTTTTTTTTTTCTTATTGTTTATTGGAAACTTTCTCAATTCCGTTTGTTGGGCATTTACACTTATCCATGGCCATTTATTCTACAAATAGTTAGTCTTTGCATCAATTTCTGTGCCAATTGTATCAAATAAAATTTGGTTGATAGATAATCTTAGTCTTTCTCTGAGGTCTCTAAATTATAAGTTTTGGTATTCAAAAAATTAAGCCTTCTGATTCTTCATTTTGCCCAAGGATAACTTGAAATTGTACAAGAAAATACTGTTTTATATACCATCTGAATTTTTTTAGATTAGATGTTGTTACCATTATGCATTATAGGAGGCACAGTGGAGTAACAGATAGCAGTTCGGATTAAGGAATGGCCAGAGCTGAGTTTGAATCCCATTTGAATCCATTACATTCACTTATGTGCTAATACCCTTGGGAAAGGTATGAATTCTCTCCTCCCCACCAGCTATGTGTAAATAGCAGGACAGACTGGGTTCTATAGCCTTGGATGGCAACCTACTGTAGGAAAAAAAATCTACCTCGTCAGTCATGTATCGAAAGATAGATGATCGCCTAAGTGTGTATCATGCATGGCACATAAATGACTGAGTATTATGCATCAACTAGTTATTTATCCATGTAGGATTAATTAAACATGCATATCAAAAGTTTCATTCTCTCTACTTAATAGAGATATAATAACATGACAAATTTTTGGTGGTGGTATGGGGTAGGAGGAATAAAGCTCTAATTACATTTGTGTTTCCAGCATTTGAATTTGCTATATATAAGCAATACGCTATATATATAAGCAATACTCTCCTGTTTATTTTTAGACATTTTCTGTAATAACAAAATTGTCTGAGTGGCAGGTAAAAAAAAATATTTTATCCTAGGATTTGTTTTTTTTTTTTTTTCTTCCATAAACCTTCTTTATCTTAGACCTTCATATAAATTATTATTATTATTATATTCTGCTTTCAGACCAAGGATTCATTCAGAATTGCATGGGTTCAGCTACTTAATGGAAGTGATTGATCTCTCATTACGTGATGCTGAAGAACGACAAACTGGTTTAACAGACCAGGAAGTTGATTTGTGCTGTGAAATACTCAAGATACTTTTCAATTTGACAATGTCTTTAAAGAAAAAATCTCTTGATGAGGTAAGGATTGGGTTTTTAATGATACTTAGGATATTTTTTTTTTATTTATATGCAATAAATTCTGTATATGATGGCATAAAAGACCCTTTAGTTATATAAGACACCCCTCCCTATGCCATTAAATAGGATAACTAGTTACCTCCATGAATTTGCTAAAAAGAAAAAGAGTATACCATAATGAAAAATGCCCTAAACTTGATAAAAACAAAATTTTGTCATCAAAATCTTTGTTATTATTAAGAGGAAAGACCAAAGTATTTTTTGATTATTTAATTATATTTTTTTTAATCCTTTTTAGAATGTTCAAAATTTTGGTTAAAAATCGTTTTGTTTCTGCATCAGTGGGTGAACTATAAATTAGCATAGCAAATCTTTTGTGGTAAAAAACACATTGATTTGGAAATTTTTGCAAAAATCAAATAATGAAACTTTCAGAAATTATTCATAAATTAATGAAATTGTTTTAGAAATGTTTATTTTTTTTTTATAGAAAATCTTGGTAAAAAAATATTTTTTTATACATCTGTTACATTCCATTTATTTAATTTTATGATAATTTGAATTCAATGGTGTAAAGCTTAATGTTTATATTAATAAAAAGCAGAACTCCTTGGATAATTTAAATCATAAATTTTTTTTTTCTTGCAAAACATTCCCCCCACACATACACTTACTGAAAATCTGCTTTGAATCATAAAATAAAAAATGCAATAATACTAAGATATTATTTAATTAGAAAATCTTTTAATTACTTTTATGAATAAGATATATTAAGGACACTATTATCTTAAGAAAAAAATTATTATTTTTTTTTTTTTTTTTTTTCAATCAATAATGAATTTTTACAAGATTTGTTTTTATTTTTTAAATTTTAATCTGAATAATTTATAAAGTTTTTAAATCTTTTAAAATTCTGTTTCTATGGTCTAAAGGTTAGGGGATATTGTTATTAAGTAAAAACTATATTTACTTTTCATAAATCAAAAAGCTTGTTACAACTTAAGATCCCCAAATAATTTCAAAAGAATTTTGAATTTTTTTTGTATGTGTATAAACATGCTGATTTTTGTAGATACAGACATTGATATATGCTATTATCAGAAAACAATAGCAATAACTATAGTAAATTTAAAGACAAAGTATCTAAAATTCAATAAAACATTAGATTAGGGATTTAAATTTTTAAGATTACTGAGTTCTTAAATAGTTTTTTCAGACTTGCATCTTCATCTTGGTTGCTAATTTTATTTTTCATAATGATAAAAGGTTTTAAAAGATATCCCATTTAAATAATGTTTTGATTAACTCTTTTGCAGGAAGAAGATGGTCACTTGATGCGTTTAGTCAGTGTTCTTCGTGAGTTGCTTATCTGCAAGACAGAATCAAAAGATCGGAAAGAAGAATTAGTTAGGTAAGTTCTTGATTTATAGAATTGTGGTTGATAATTTTTGAAGTAAGTCACCAAAAGAAAGAAAATTTGGGCAAAATATCCTAATTTACATTAAATCAAATTTACCTACCAACATAAGCATTATATTTACATTTCTTTTTATAAAAACTTAAAAAATTACTTTTCATGTAGTGAGACACAGTTCTGCATTTATCTTGATTAATGCTGTGTAAGTACTTATTTAACATATCAAAAACTGTTATAAAGTGTTTTATCTTATCTAAGTTCTTGCTCTTATGTTTTTCTATATTTCTTATTGCAGCCATACTGTGAACCTTCTAACCAACATGCCAGTTGATAGTTTTGAACAGCTTCTCACCCCCATTAATGAAAGTGGAGCTGATTCCATAGACAATAAGGATATAGAATATGATGGCAAAAACATGGAGAGTATTGTTGTACTGTTGAATTTTTTGCACCATCGATTGGAAAGGGTAAGTATTGATCTGCCAATGCAGGTTGAAGAATTCCCAAAACTACATCAGCGACGAACATCTATGAAGTCAAATGTCGACATTCAACTTGAAGTTAGTATATCAGATTGATTCTGATTTTTTTTTTTTTACATTGTTCAGCACGGGTCACCAAGTACATTTGCTTTTGTGACAACCTCCAGCTGAAAGTTCCACTCTGATTCAAGTAGAATCCAAACCCAACACTGTGCAATGCATTACACATAGAAAATAAATCTATTCTTGTCAAATTGTGTGTAGCTGGAAAATTTATTTTCAAATTTTCACTGGAAACCAGGAAAATTGTCCCAAATATAGAACAAATAAACCAAAAACTCCTTAAAGAACTTTCCTGGTCTTTAATCAGATTTACATGTATGAAATATATATATATATATATATATATATATATATATATATATATATATATATATGGATTCTCTTGTTGTTTTTGACATATGATGGTACAGCAATTCTGTTCTTAGAACTGAACAGCCAGTACTATCCACACATATGATTTGATTACACTGGTAAAGTCTTGTGTAGAAACAACCACACATTTTGGAAGAACCAAATAAAGAGACCCTATTACACATAGTGTGTCACAAGGCCTTCAAATGACCCTCCTGAGGTTTTGAATTTAGAATTGTCCTTCTCATAGGCTGATTGTCACCCAAAGCTATAAGTCCCAGTGTGTCCTGTTATTTATTCATAGCTGGGGTGGGGGAGAAGAGTTGAATACATACCTTTCCCAAGGGTATTTACATGTAAGTGAATGTAAGGAATTTTACTAGAATTTGAACTCTGCTCTCCAATTCTTCAAAGTTACTATCCATTACTCCAAAAATGATTTTAGATTATATATATATATATATATATATATATATATATATATATATATATATATATATATATATAAAATAATACAAGTAAATGGTTCATCACTTAGCTGATTGATGTTACCATCTATATATATATATGTATGCACATTGAGGTCAACACCTGCTCTACACTGATATTGAGCACTTTAACCCATAAATATAGCATACCATAAAACTTTATTTTATAATATATATATATATATGCTAAAGGTAACATCAATCAATTAAGTGACAAATCTTTTACTTGTATTAATTATATTCGGTACCTCCACGAGATCGCTAAAAAAAGCGTATAGCATGATGAAAAAGACGCCAAACTTGACGAAAACAAAATTTTATTGTCTAAATGTTTGTTAATATTAAGAGGAAAGATCAAAGTATTTTGGGGGTATTTTTTTCCATTTTTTAATTGTTCCTAGCATGTCCGAAATTTTCGTTAAAAATCTAGTTTTTTTTGAGTCAGCAAAATTGACCATTTTTTTCCATTTTAAAAAAAACTGGAAATCTCACTTTGAAATCCTTTTAAATATCAATTATCATTTTTCAAAATTTATTTTAAGAAAATCAGAAATTATAATGTTTATTTAAAATATTTTGAATCAAACTTAGCTTTTGTGCCAAAAAGATGTAATTTGAAAATAAAACAAAGCAGGTCATAAACTTTCGCGTCTCTTGACATGTGATGAATGATATATTTACGAATTCCATGAGGCTAATTTGTTCTCTGGAAGGAGAAAAGTGAAATAATTTACATTTACGTGAACAAATTATTTACCCCCGTTATTTTTAATCTAAAACTTTCAGCGGTCTAATTTTTTTTTTTTTTGTACTTAGCTTTCACTTTTACGTTTATGATGCTTTATGGAAAATATATTCTAAAGAAATTAAAATAAGACTGTTAAGAGTGACATTAAATTTCATATTTCCTAAGAAAGGTATCTAATTAATTTATAGGTACCTTTCTTATGAAATTTTATCAGAATTGTACATAAAATACTATAATTTTATGTACATTTATTACATTTTACTGTTATTTGTATTTGCATTCATTTTATTATTAATTTTGATATTTCATTTATGGAAAAATGTCATAACTGAGATTAATATAAAAATAAGATCATATAAATTTCATAAGATGATACTGATACTTGTAGGTACCCTTCTCAGTTGAAATTGAAAAATCAAGTTAACTTCTCCACACGTGTTTCACAAAAGTAAAGGCCTTAACAGCGGAGAACAATGCTTAACTCAAATAACGCAACTTAATTATATTCTGGTTGGTCTTCCGTACTTTATAATTACAGCCTGGTTATAAGCACAAAATTACATTTCTTAATTACTGCAGATATTCTGATTAGTCAAAATGATACAATTTACAACGTGGTAAAAAAGATCTATCTCATAAGGACACTTAGGAAAGCCGATGCGGCTTTTAACTAATTTTATAATATTTTAACAACTTAAATGTAAAATCTATTATAATTAAAGAAATAACAAATAATTGTATTAAAAATTCAATTTTCATCGAAAAAAATTTTTTGTTTTCAGAAAATATTGTCCATATTCATAAAAACAACTAACAGCAAATAAAAGCATTTGAAATTAAATAATATCTTTGTTTTATTGAGTTTTGTATGTTACAATTCAGAGCTGATTTTCAGGTACTGTGGATCCAATTAAAAACAAAAAAAAACATGATTTGCATTCCTCAAAGCCCTGTGCTTTTAATTATTGTAATCACTAAACCCGATGTGATCAAATTTCTAGCGTTTTCATAAAATTAGTTAGGGGGTGGGGTAATAAATATTTTAAAAAGATTTTTCTACCATGACTTTAAAAAAAAAAAAAAAACATATTTATAATAATTTCGATTATCTGTGAATAGTTCCTGAAAGTTTCATTAACATCCGACAATTATTTCTATTTTTGCACGATTTTTCAAATTAATGTGTGTCATACCAAAAAAACGTGCTAAAAATTGTCTGTTATTTACTAGTTCTGCTGATACAAATAGAAACAAGGTTTTTTTTAAATCAAAATTTAGAATGTTCTAAAAAGAAGGAAGAATTTTTAAAAATAATTAAAAAAAACTTTGGTCTTTCCTCTTAATAATAACATAAGCATTTAGACAATAACATTTTGTTTTCGGCAAGGTTGGCGTCTTTTTCATCAAGCTATGCTCTTTTTTAGCGATTTCATGGAGGTACCTAAATTATATATATATGTGTGTGTGTGTAGCATGCATGCGTATATATATATATATATATATATATATATATATATATATATATGTGTGTGTGTGTGTGTGTGTGTGTGTGTATATATATATATATATATATATATATATATATATATATATATAAAATTAGATCTGCCAATTCCACTACTTTGGTTTCAACAGCTGATTTCCTCCTCCTTACTTTCTACCACACCTCATGTCGTGTGCTTATTCATTTATTAATTAATTTATTTTTTAAAAAATATAACCTTCATAATTTTTTTTATTTTTTTAAAAAAAATAAATCATTAGGAAATCCATTGACCAAAATTGCCTGAAGATACAAAAAGGTTGAAACCAAGGTAGCAGAATCAACTGATCTTCTAATTTTCTATACTTAGAAACTCTGCATGATGAATTTTTATCTATGAACTTTTTTAACACTACTGTTTCCTGGTCTAATTCAACTCTGACCATTAACTTGTAAAATGTAAAGGATAAAAGTATGTTTGTAGGTAAGCAGTACTTGATTTATGACACTATTTTGTTTTTTAATCAAATATACATTACCTGTAAATAAATATTTACTTTCATTCTTTATATGCATATTATCTGTCAAAAATGATGTGATTATCTTTAGATCACCACTTCTGCCTCAGATTAGAGTAGTCATGTATTCTGCTTAAAGTCAGTGAATTACTCCCCTGACTTCTGCTGAGAATAAAAGTGTAGTATCTGTGAAATTTTATATATGGATACATTACATGTTATATATTGGATTATGCAAATGAAAATTATTTTTTTCATTATTTTTTTTAATACAATTTGGTTTTCTTGGAATAACTAATATGGAATAAAATCTGGCCACTCATGTACAAGGCCATTTCTTTTACTACTGAACGGATGTCTTATGTTGCTTATCTTGAGCAAACAAGCATTATATTTATAGAAACTTTTGTGCAAATGTGGATAGCATTATTATTATTCACTATTGGAAAATAACAAAGAAATTTAAAATAACCTATTTTTTTTACAGTATTAATGAATCCAAATTACAATTTTGCCCTAATTTGTTAAATATTATGATTACCCTTAGAAAAATGTAAAATAGGGGTAAGAAGAAAGTTTAAAGGTTAATTGAGTGTTAGAAAGATTACATTGCATCAGTTTTCCAGTGAAATCAGCATTCAGAATTGTAACATTTTAACTGGACTTGAACACCAACCTCTGGGGCTAGAGGGGAAATATGCAATTATCTCAGCCATAAGGCAGGCTAATTGAACATTTTCATTCCATTTTAAAAGCAATAAATCCTGTTTGACATTATATTTGATATAAAACTTTTAGTATTCAAAATGGAAAAGATTTTGTTTACCATAAATTTGTAGACTGCCAGAAATAAATAATCAATGAATAAACACTATTCTTGATGTTCTTTAAAAATAGGATTTTTATAGCCAGTTTTCTTTTATGACCCTCCACTATTTCCTATCCGTTTTGCCTCTTGATGATGTTTATATTTTTACTATACCTTCCACTCTTTCTTCTACCATCCATTTACAAAAGCCTATTAGGTAGGTCACTTACTGTTTCCCTTTGCACTTTTTGTTTTCAGTATGTCCTGTGTATGTCAAATTCTCCAAGTTGTCTTTCCTCATTATGTGCCCCAGAAATGTCACTTGTCTCTCTCTAATTCTATGTGTCCTTTTTGCTTTCATTTTTCTTAAAACTTCCTCATTGCTTACATGCTCTGTCCCTGGTATTCTCAGTATCCTTCTGTAGAATCACCACTTGTTGCTTCAAGCCTTCTCTTTATCTGTGATGAAATAAGATGATATAACCAGTAGAAATGTTTTATTATAACTCTGCTCTTTATTATGAAATCATTCCTCTTTTTTTTATCATTTCACTACAAGCAAGGTGATAAATCCACTAAGATATAAAAAGTCAGTGAATGTGAAAGAATCTAAGAAAAACGTCATTAAGGAGAGAGGATAATAAAAGAACAGAAATTAAGGAAACAGATGTCTATTAACATTGCATTTAAATTTTTGAAGAAGACTAGAAAGCAAGAATCTGGAAGAGTGAGAAGTGTTTGAGAAGAAACTGTTAACATAGAACTTGATTAAATCTAGCCATTTCAACTGTAAAATGATGAGACCGCTGCCAATCTAGTAATTTGTATTAAAATCTAATAAAATAACATATAAACATAAGTATACCCATATATACTGCTCAATTACATGTCTTTTCACTAGATCAATTCCTTACTTTAAAAGATAGGAATTGCACAACACAAATATTTAAACAATTGACTAAAATCAGTGCATTAATAATTCATGGCAAACAATGAAAAACTAATTCCTGTAAATCTTGAAAATAAAAGCAAAATTAAAAAATTTTTTATATATGAATATAAATTAGACTGAATTTTTATCTGTATCATTTCCTATTTCTCAAAATTAATTTTCATCAAAATATCAGAGCAAAAATTATGAAAATTACCACCACTGCAAGAAATAACTAAAAATATCAATTCCTGTTCTTATATCATAATTTATCTGTAAAAAAAATTAAATTTGGAAAACGCCATAAAAATCTCTTCAAGTAAATTTTGTCATGTGGTAGAAAATTAATTTTAAGAGATCTGTGTTACTTTTTCTTCAAATCATTTTCTCTGTTTTTTTTTCTTCTTCTTCTTTAAGATTGACTTGTAAATTAAAAAAAATTTCATTTAAATTGCAGCCATTTAGTAACTTGAAGGAAAACCTTGCTCCAATTCTACATTGTTTGTGTGAAGCCTGCCGTAACAACCGATCTATCCGGAAATTTTGTCGCCTGAAGGTGAATTATCCTGCTTTTGTTTTAAATTCAATATTCACTGTGACCTTTCTTCACCTTTCTACATTGTTTCTACACATAATATGGAATAAGAATATCATTTTTTTTTTTTTTTTATAGTACAACTGTGAAGTTTTAAGAAATACTTTGCTATTATGGTGGCAATGAGGAATTACTAGAAAAAAATTAAATCGGAAAAATGTTGGGTATACCAGGTTCAATAAGAACTTCACCCACCCAAAGCAGAAAATGTTGTAATTTTATTATTATTTTTATTTATTTTATGTACAAGAGAGAGTGCTGAAAAGTTATTGGCTTTATCCATTTTACCTAAGTCTGATCTTCACCGCAACTATAAATCTATTGTACTTATTTTAACTCCTAAAATAACTGAAATGTTTTTCAGATATATTATCTTTATTTAAATAAGAGATTACCAAGAAACAGGAATTATTTGAACAAGATAATCTTAAAACTGAACTTAGTCTATAAAGATCTTTATTAAATAAAAACAGTGTCTATAGTTTCATCTTTTGTTTCTGAATCACAAGTTTGAATTTATTCTTGTATTATTCCTCCAGATTTCAAATGAACAAAATGCAGAATCTGCTAATGCCTCTCTCTGTCTTGAGTCTGCCATTAATTCAATTCTAATTTCATTATTGGCTTATGATTATGGGGTTTCAACTAAAAAAAATTATTGTATTTTAAAATTATATATAAGATATTGCATCTTTCTTAAGAGGTTTCATAATCAAATAGTGAATCACAAATGATTGATGATCAACTTTGAGAGATTTTCATTGAAACACTAATTCTTTCAAAAACAATGACATAGAGAATCTTGATAGGGTTGAGCCCTGATTTTGATTCTAATTAGAGAATTTTTTTTATTACATTTTCTTTTTTCTTTCTTTTTAGGTTTTGCCACATATGCGTGATGAAGTGAAAGCTCTTCCTGAAGAAGGAGATACTTTAAGAAACAGGTAATTTTCATCATACATTTCTTCCTCTCACCCACCTCCCAATCCTCATTTTTGATGTTTTTTATCATATTTTGGCTTCTGTACTCACCATTTATTACCTTGGAGAAAGAGTTTCATCCTTTTGGCTCTAACAATCATTCCATGGTCAAACCATGTTAAATCACTGTCACAGCTACACTACATATTTACCTATTGCATCTCACATCTAGCTGATTTCTACAAATGAGGGAAGGCAAAAACCATCCAGTGCACTAATATTTCTAAATCTTTTATATTTCAGTTGATTTTTATAAAGTCCTACTTAGTTATCACTTATGTGATGCCCTAAATTTGTTTTTCAGACTTTGCCGATTACTAACTAACCCAAGCCCTCATGTTAAGGAGTTGGTGCCAGATTTCTTGTTCACATTGTGTAAAGAAAATGGTGAGTTATATCTTTTCTACTTTATACTAAAATTAGACTTGAAATTAATCTTAAAAATATGTCACCAGCATTTTCTTTTTTCCCTCAGCTCTTAAAAAGTTAATTTTATATTTATGAATAAAGTAATAAAACTCATCTTTAATTCTTTAACAAGCAAAACAGCTACTTTGTAGATAAAACATTCCACTGTTATAATAATTCCTGTGAAAAAGTAAATATTTTTCTAAGTGTTTTCACAATAAAACACACAAAGTAAGGCCAGTACAAAACAAACCAGATGAAATAAAAATTGGAGATCTCTTCTGTTATTGACTCTGATATTTATTGCAAAATTTAATCTAAAATTAAAATTAAAATTGCCAATAAAGTAGGGAGCTTGTCACGGCATAGAATATCTAGTTATTCTATAGAATAACTAAAACTTAGACATTTTTTTTAATCATTTCACCCCAATCAAGGCAATAAATCAAGGGGTTATTTCGGTTTGTGACAACAAGGTTTGCAGTCTTCTGTTTTCTATAATATATTATGAACTTTATGTTTTTCAGCAGTTACCACAATTTTTCTGTATGTTTCTAGAATTATAGGGATGTTCTATTTTCTGAACACACCACATTGTGGCCGTGTTTGTAGTTAATATTATTGAGTGTTGGATTTTTCTTTTTTATTATTAAGGCTTCCATTACTTTTTCTCACAAGTGGATGAGGTTATTATGCTTGTATTTTCTACTAGTATGTTTCGGAAGTTTGTGCATGTGTTTAAATGGGTTATGATGGAGCTGTGATCAGATAGGTGTAACGTAAGGTGTCTAGATAGAGATGTAGTAGTGTGACCGATGTAATTATTTATGAGTTCAGTTTGATCAGAATCACAGTCCCTTAAGAGGTATTTGAACTCATAAATAATGTTCGTTCTTTGTAATTTTCATTTTGCAGATGAGTTGTTATTTTTGAGGATAAGGAAGGCTGTTTTAAATTTTTTGTAGTAGATGATTAATTTAATCTTTTTCTTTGGGTCAATTGGGGTAGTATTTTCTTGCTTACAAGGCACAATTTTTTTCCTAAAAATTACCCTGAAAAATAAGAGTGCATCTTCCAAGACAAATGTAAAAGTAAGCTTGGACAGTCACCTAATTGGCTTGACTGATAGGGACATGGATTTATATGTTGAGTCATTACATTATAATGTTAGCTATCTAATTCAGCCTTTTATATGATGTAACCTCAGTACTTAGTTGTTACAAATATTTCCAAGACTATAAACCTTCCTGGAGCCAAGCCACAAGCTTAAACCTGCTCTGTTTAATAGCAGCAGTGGGAGCCTTTCTGCACTTGACTAGTATGTCATTGCCATACAAACAAAAAAGTGATTAATGTAAACAATATGTGGTGCCAGTATGTGAGGGACACATGGTGAATATGTTGTTGTATGAGAATTACTTTTTTTCTTAGAAATTTCTTTCCAATATTAGGGTGCATCTTCCAAGTGGGAAATATACAGTAATTCAAAAATCCTAGGTCATTCACAAACAATGAATAGAAATCATCAAAATAACATTAATGTTTAATAGTGAAATCTGATGATTAAGCACTGAATTTTGCAATTTTTTACTTAAATCTTAGCTTGATAAGATTTTGCACACAATATATATGTTACAAATTGAAAAGAAAGATTCAGGCACATATGCATTTTCTTATATTTTAGGATGCTTGCTTTGTAGGTAGATAATTGTTTCTATCAAGCCAAAATTAAGAGAAATTTGATTAGTTTTATTTTTTTTTAACTACAAGAACCATAATAAAAAAACAAACAAGTAGCTTTTTGTTGAATGAAGTTCATCTTTAGTTTAAGATAAAAAATATTTAATAATAGATAGGAAAAGGCGAAATTTATAAGGCATTTTTTATTAGAAAAAAAAAAGCTTAAAAAAACAACCAGTTTCGTCCCAGGACTTATCAAGTTTATTTTTCTTGGAATAGAAAATTTATAAAAGTGTGTAAATTAAATTAACAGATGGAATGGAAGAGAAAAAAAAATGAATTTCAAGAAACTAGAGTCCAATAACATTCAGACCCAGTAAGCATTCCCTCTGTTTACAAAGGGAAGGCCCACGGGATCTGATATCCAAGGACTCTAGAACCTTGAGGTGAAATGTGCAGTGGGACCTAGATAAAATCAAAAAACGGTCTGCACTAAAATTAACCACAGATTTCCTACTATTTATTACATGCTCAGCAATAGAAGCTGGATTCAAAATCTGGATAAAAATATTTAGAAACTTTATCTTCTGTTGTTTGAGAAACTTAAATTTCATTCTTTATTAAAATTCATCAATTATCTTTTACTTTTCATGTTCTTTGTGTCAGCCTTGTAATTAATTTTTGTTGAAATTTCTCCTTGCATTTTTCTTAGAAGTATATTTTAACTTAAATTTAAATGACTTTATCTAGTTGATCGCATGGTGAAATATACTGGATATGGTAATTGTGCTGGCTTGCTTGCTGACCGAGGCCTATTACTTGGTGGTCGTGGGAAGATAGCCAACTATTCCAGTGAATCTGAAGACTCTGAAACAGAGGAATATTCTGAATTAAAATCCATGTAAGTTGGAACTTTGCTTTTCTTAGCTTTCTTGCAGGATTATTGATAGGGGGAAAATTGATCCATAAATTTCATTTCTGAGCAGTCTTGTTCAGCAAATAGTAACCATATTGAATATTTTTTTATAACATTAGAAAGCAAATGTAAAATAAAATGTCTTTTAGATGTTGAATAAAAATTATAGGAATTTTATTTTCAAATCTTAAAACTAAATAATTTATTGACTGCGTAAATCACTTATATACTAGCTTAAAAGCTATCCTATCGGACAGCATTTAAGCTACTTCCTGCAGATGGCTCTTGATTAGGCCTTCATCAGAATAGGTAGGGAGGAGTAGATGTGATAGGCAACAATAAACTACAGAACAACTCAAAATTGATTGCTGCATTTAAGTATTGCATTAATATTTAAGCTTACCTTTTAAAAGTTCAACTATAATTCTTCTGCCGCCACTTAATTTAAAGACAATTTGATGTACGTAGGTCCTTACTTTCTATACAAAAAATTATTTTTATTTCATGGGTGACTTTCATTGAATTTCACAATTAATTTTGATTATTCCCAAACTTATTTCTAAGTTATAAAAATTGTTATCATACAAAAAAATTTGTCAGAAAAAATCACCAAAAACAATCACTGTAATGAAAACTTGGGAATCCAAAATTTCAGGACTGCAGGTCTGGATCTGACCTGGAATATTTTTAATTTGTTCACAGTTGACCTGATTCCAAAATGGTATGATACAGCCTCTAGGAGTAAAGTTGGAAAAGTGTGACACAGTGACACACTGACATTCACATTTATTATTTAGATTACATTTAGCTTTCTTTAACTGTTCATATTCTCTGAATCTCTGGGTAGTGTTTTAAATATATTAAAATTCTTTAATGTTTGGAAAATTTAAAATGTGTGTATACTTTAGCATAATACCCATAAAAAAATGATTGGATTATTTATATATCATTGGTACTTCTACCAAATATCAGTCTTCTCTGTCTCTGATCAAAGTATCATTCCCTTGCACTTTTGCAGCAGATCAATGTGAAAAGTGTTACACCCAATAAATAAGCCCCTTCCCCACAGACAAAGTGTAGCAAACCTATCATTACTCTATTTCTATGGCTAATGTTCAGATTAACTACATTCTTTAGTTCTATCAGTTCAAATTTTTACAGTTAAGATGTGCCATACCATGTATCTAGGGTTGAATCATCTTCATTATCTGCATGTTCCATTGGTCAGAAAGAAGTTCTACTCTAACAGTGTCTTCCCAAGAACCACTACTTTGCAAAACACACTCCCTTGAGGATGATTCCCCAATTACTGCAGTCTTAAACACCTCAAGTCTAGGGTCAACCATTACCTACCTTATATATCCTTATAATGTGCACTTAATTCCTGTCCACACAACCTTGCTCAACCTTAAGTAGCTCTTGTTAGTTGAACATTCATTAAGAAAAATATATGTATACCCTCCCCATATATATATATATATATATATATATATATATATATATACACACACACACACAAATGTAAAAGAATGAAAGGAATATAAATTCAGATGTTGATAACATCAATTTAAAAAAGAGCTCAATACAAGAGTAGATAGATATTTATTATAAACTGTTACATTGGAACATGCAAGTTACCAAAAATGCATATTTGTTTCAACGTCTAAAGACACCTCATCAGGTGGTGAATGATGGTGGTAATGAATGATTTTATTTAAAACTTGCATGTTCCGATGTAACAGTATTTTTATATTATATATATATATATATATATGAAAATAAACCTCAATTTATTTTAGCTGCCAGGAATTGAATATATATCAAAAGCTGTTGGATTTCCCATCTTCAGTACAATAAAAAAACCACCAGATATATTTCCTAGTTAACAATGCAAACCTGTGAAGAAATACATTAATGATGTCTGTCTGCAAAGTTCTATTATATGGCGCTATATGTGTGGCTGCTTTAAAGGCAGTTGTGTAGTCAAAGCCTGAACTTTTAAAGCTTATTACTGGATAAACAGATTCCAGATAATTTAAACACATTTTTTCTGTTATATTTTGGAAAATCAAATAATAATAATAAAAAAAATGTTTCAAAATATTTAATGAAGCCACTTTTTCTTTATTTTCCCTTTGATGCCGATATTCATAATATAGATTGTTTTGTTAGTTATAATAATTTATTGATGCAATTATATAAAACTGAAATGTTTTTCTGTAATCAGCTTTTTAAAATTTTAAATATTATTGAATTTGACAGAAAATTAATGAAGAATAAGTTGAAATGTTTAAACATTAAAAAGAAAAATCTTATTTCATCAATTTACTTTGCTTTATTTATCAGGATAAATCCAGTAACAGGACGTTGGGAAGAACAGCGGCCTGATCCAATGGAAAATATGAGTGAAGAGCAAAAAGAATATGAAGCCATGAAAGTTGTTCAAATGATGGACAAACTCCATCAGTAAGTGGATTAGAATTTATAAATATATTATATGGATAGAGGTATACAAAAAATTTAAATAAATGAATTAACCTTTAGCATTCTGTAATATTCATAAGTATTTCATCCTCAGGTATAAGTGGTTAGACAATTGCAGTAGCATCATCGATTTTCACTTAGTCATTTTCCTATTGCCATAGTTGGATATGACAACACTAGCACAAAATTCAACCACATGATCAGAGTAACATGCAGTGGCTGTACAAACATTTTGTTTGACAAATAAAATCACCTATGTACAATGTGCTAAAGGTTAAAAGTATGATTGCTTTCAATAAATGTTAGTATTATTGACTTGCAATGATTTTAATTTTGAGGTTTGATTTTTAAAAAAAAAACTGAATCAAAAGATTAAAATTAGATTGATCTTTTTTTTATTCTCTTGACAAAATTTTCTCTTGTAAAGAGCTTTTAAGAATTCTTTAAATATTTTACTATCTAAATTTTATTGTAAATATAATTGTATCAAATTGAAAAAAAAAAACAGTTTTGTCTCTTTTAATGATGGCAACTTTGGTCTTGAATGAAGAAACTTTGACAATGTAAATAGAACTTCTATATTCAAATAGATATATTTACTGTTTCAAACCAGATTGAAATGTTAATATCTGCCTGGATAGTAAATGCTACTCTCATTGGTTTAAAGGGCACAAATATTGCTGGGAGGAAATAAAACTGTTACTTTTAAACTAGCCAAAATGAGGTTGTTCACCTGACACTACTGAGATATGTACAGCAAAATCCTAAAAAAGGTCCCCAAAAACATTAATGTTCCTTTTGTAACGTAAAAAAGGGGTCAGTGACTTCAGTTTGTAGTATACAATCAACTAAAAAATAATATCTAAATATAAGAGCTGAATCAAGATATACACAATCCCTACCTTTTATTATCACTATTATTATTTGTCTGATTTAATTGATTTTTATTTTTGGTATGTACCAGTTTCTTTCTTTGAAGCCATACAATACACCATAATTTGTATTAGTTGAATACTTATAATAATTATCTGTACTAGTTAGAAACTGTTATAAAAATATCGGATTTTGAAAAAATATTTGATATTGTCAAAAATATGTTTGTTTATTGTGGGTCACTTTTTACCTTCCCAGAGCAAATTGTTTTCTGTTTAATGATGACAGCCTTTTTAAATTTATGAGCATCTCATGAAAAAAAAAAAAAAAAAAAAAAACAAGTATGAATGATGAAAAATAATGAAACCTGACATTAGCACACATCCCCAACATTTCAACGCCATCATATAACTGGCAACATTCAATTATTAATATATTTTCTCCTTTGCTAAGCCAATATGTCATATTTTTTATTGATGGACAATAAAAGCACAAACCAATTACAGCTTTGGAAAATATGGAAAAGTTGCTTTAAAAATAAGTTGTTTTTTTCCTTTTTTTTTTTCTTTCAAATAAATTTCTTTTCTATATTTTAAATGTAAGATTTAGCTCTTTGAGGATTTTTGGATTTTTGACTGATTCTTCAAATATTTAAAGGCCTGATTTTTATCTCTTCTCTTATTGATTGTTTTTTCTGGAAATGGTTAATATTTGCTTCCATTTCATGTAATTATCTTAATTTTCTGATTCAACAATTTACACTGCTTTGATATGAGTACAGTATTTGGAATTTGAAAGAAATTTTTTTTTTTTTTTTTTTTTTTTTAAATTTTCATTAATCTTTTTAATATATAAGTAATGAAAGATTTTTTTCTTTTTAGGCGTGGTGTTATTCAACCTGCATATATGGGTGAAGACGGACGACCGATTCCAGTTTCACACATCTTAGAATTGACAGATAAAATCAAACTTCCTTCTCAGGAAAATTCTGACTCTGATTAAAAATAATCTTTTTTTGTTTTTTTTGTTTTGTTTTTTTTTTTTATTATTGCTATATACATGTTCTTCTCTCCACATATCTTTATAAATATTCCCTTCAAATTTCTTTTTCTCTCAGAAAAAGAAAGTAAAGGGAAGAAAAAAAAATTGAAAGCATGTTTTTTGTTTTTGTTTTATTTTTATTTTTTTGTTTTCTTACAGAAAATGTTAACAATTTAAATAAAACAGTGTCAGCAATTTTGAAAGCCCCCCAAAAAGGACCCCTCCCCCCCCCCAAAAAAAAAAAAAGAAATCAAAAAGAAATATATCCAATAATAAAATAAAAAGGTGTTAATTTTTTAGATGCATGATATTCCATTATTTTATTTTTTTCTTTGACTGGTGCATTCTATGTACTGTTGTGCACTCATCAGCATTCTGGAGCCACAGAGCATCTGATTATTATCTTAAATCAGGTATAAAAGAATAAATTGGATATGACCTCAGGAATGGCCATTTTGGGGATATTTTTTTCTTATCACTAAACCCTTGTTGTCAGTTCCATTGTGTATACCTGTAAAGAATCTAAAACTGACACCTCCACAGTGGACTACAGTTGGCCACTCTTGTAATAAAATCCTCCTCCATTTTACTACTGATTTTTTTTTTTCTTCCATGAGCTCCAACAGCTGAATTCCTCATAATTATCTTTGAGAACGTTTATTGTAAAGAAACAGAAATACTGTCATCATTTTTTTTTTTTTACTGCATTTTGACAAAAATGAAAAGAACAATAATTCTTTGCCTTGTTTATGAGAAATGAAGATTTTTCCAATCCTTTAAATGTTTTTAAAATGTTAACATAAATTATAACCACTTAATTATCTTTTAAAAAAACCCAAAACTAAATTTTAAAAAAAAGATTCATTATAGAAATTAAAACATTTTTCTAACAATAAAGTGCTAAATATTTTTAATATTTTTTTTATAGATTACAACTATTATTTTTTAAAAACAAAATTATCTAAAACATCAAATTTAAATTGTTTTTTTTTCACTCTTGTAAATGTGTGTATGAAAATAAACACATACACACACACACACATATATATATTAATGGATTTGATTTATAATCTGATACTATTTCTTATTACTGTAGTAATAAAGAATAATGTCAGATTATAAATAAAATCTATTTAAATCGTTAGAAATTACTTTGTTTTGAAAATGAAAAGTTAGCAGCTATTGGATTCGAGAGATCTGAACAAGAGATGTGCATTTTTTTAAAAGAGGTAACTGAACACTGCTTGACTGAAAGTCTTCTGTTACTGAGTGGTTTAAGAACATGCCAGACTGAACAATATTTTCCACTACAAAGAGGTTGCAGCTTTGAGCAGTGCCAAGAGGCACATTCCCTTTATTAAGACTCTCAAATGCACAGGAATATCTACTCACATGTGTATCCACGAAATATAACATTTAAAATAATTATATATAGTGATGTTATAAAAAGCATGTGATAATTTTGAATATACAGGGTGTTTCAAAAAATTTGATATCCTTTGAGATGTAAATATCACAGAAAGTACATGATTAAGGCAAATGAAATTAAAAAGTATTAATGTTGAAGATCATAAGATTTATTCTTCCAAATCTGAATGAGAAATTCAAAAGCATGTGGATTATGTGAACGATTTCACAAATGTTCAATATGCGCCCCACCTGAGACACGGCATTTTTATACCTGGAAAGAAAAAGATTAAAGATTAAAGAACATAAAAATACAAATAAGAAAAACATAAAGACATAAAAATATAAAACAAACATTAAACATAAAGATGCTATTAAAATTTGAAATCATTTGAAGGAGATCTAACAAAGTTATTAGATTGCTAAATGATATCAATTTTTTTGAAATGTATATATATATATATATATATATATATATATATATATATATATATATATATATATATATATATATATATATATATATATATATATTACTTTGTTTTTAGTGAGTACACATGTCTGACTTGCTATACTTGTTTTTTTATTTCTTAAAGAAATTAATAACAAGCTGCCCAGATTAAGAAGTCTTACAAAAGAAAAATATGCTCCTCAGTTGGAATTGAACCCACATCCTTTTTCCATCAGGGAATGAATGTGTTGGCTATAGGAGTGGCTTCCCTGAGGGAATACAGGATCAATTCCCATTGGGAGGCACATTTTTCTTCAGAGCACTTCAGAATTTAAGCTGCTTGACATTAATTTCTTTTGTTTAAGAAAATAAAAAAACTGGGATAGCAACTGAAACGCATATACCCATTAAAAAATAAAGTTCATAGTAATAAAATGTAATGTTGGATTAAAAAATCTAATATATATAACATTTCTTTTTTTTTTTTTTTTTTTTAAACCAAAGTGTAATATCAAATATTTGATGAGAAAAAATAAATGTTTAATTTAAAATCAATAGAAAAATATATCAAATTTTAATCAGTCATATTTGAATTATTAAAAAAATATTTCAACACCTATGAAAATATAAACAAAGCAAGAATTCTCTTAACATTTTTGAGTAAAAACATTTAATAATCAAATTCAAATATTGCAATGTGCATGTTAACTTTTGTCAGTCAACTGTACAATCAGTCTTATTTGAGGTTTGACATATCGATTTAAAATATCATGAAAAAAATTATTGTAAATTTCAATTAAACTCGGTAAACTATACAAAAGTTTTCCCACAATATCTGACTGATTTTATCATTGAAAAATAATCATAAAATATCATCTTTTTTTTGTTCACTTTTATTTTAAGGTTCATTATTGCTTCATTAGACAAATTATACCAGGCAATGATTTTCTTCTTGAATGATATCTTTTTTCAATTTTCAAGAGTTTGATTTCATCAGAAGCCTGTATTGAATGCTTTGATATATATATATAACATAGTCTAATTATAATTTGCGTAGTCATTGGTTAAGTGCAGATGTCTTCATTTCAAATTTCTTGGAAAAAGTTTTGATTTGAAATTTATCAAATAACATCTGACTGACTTGACCTTATATATATATATATATATATATATATATATATATATATATATATATATTTGGGCATAGGGTTCTTACATTAAAAATGAAATAAGTTAGCAAAATTATTTTCTTGGGAAGTTTCATATTTGCAATTTTCAGCAAAACATAACTTGTTTCTGGGCAACTACTTTTTGGAAAGAGTTGAATTGATAGAAATGTCTATCCATATAAAAAATATTGCAATAAAACATTTTTTAAGTTCAGTAGTATAAAGATGAATGAAGTGCTAAAAATATATTTTCCATATTATGAGTGTATGTGAAAAAATTGTATGTTTATATGACAGCTTAATGTAATTACTGACAGATTACATTCTTGCAGTGTTTTATTGCTTAAAAGAAACATGAATCATAAATATTTGCAATTTTATTTTTAAAATTTTAGGAAATATTATCCATTGAATCTTTGTCAAAATATTTAAGCAGAATAATTTGGTATGGTTTGATATTTGTAAGACCCCCATTTTATTAACATCCATCAGTCTATTTCACATCCTCATATCTCTTCCTAATTCACTGTTCTCCACATTTTACCAGACCCTATGAATAATTAACTAATGTCTCCTCATGTTCTCCTTAAAGAACTTTTTATATCTTAAATTCCACTGGATGCATTAAAGCAAATGAATAAATTCAAGGTGGAAAATTGTAACAAAGAAAATATCACTCTAAATCAAATTCTAGATGAAAAAATAATGATTATGGAATTAAAACATGATATTCAATGCATTAAAAAGAAAACTGAAACAAACTTTAAAAAAATCTTTGTGTTAAAAGGAATTCAGTTGTAGAAGCAAGAAATATGTACATTTCAAATAACATACATGAAATTATTCATTTTATTTTTAGATACCTGTTGGTCATTTTTTTTTTTTTTTTTTACATTATACCAGTATGGAATGTGAACAAGTCACTTGTTAAAAATCTATCAAAACTGATTTTTAGTTTGCAGTCTGTTATTTTTAAAAGTTCTTTGTAAAAAATGGTTTTGACTTTATGCCTATGAATGAAAACATGAAATCTCAGTTGTAATTTTCAGAACAAAAACAAAATCAATTCAAGATCATTAATTTAAAAAAATTATAGTTTCCCTTTCAGACATTTATAAATGTTTTCATTTGAAAACAGCTTTTGAAAACCTATTAAAAAAAATGTAAATAATTTGAGCTTTCATCAGAAACAAAGGCAATTAAAACAGCTCATAATGATGAAAACTATTGATATGAATTTACAAAAAAAATGCAAAAAAATATTTAAAGTCTTGTTTTTAAATAGGATTATAGAGAAATTTAGGTGATTGTGTAAATTATTTGGTGGCTAATTTTTTATAAATCTATTTTTCTTGTTTGGATAAATTGTGTAATAGTTATTTGTATTTATCAGATAATGGGGATTTAAAAACGCATTCTAGATACTTTAAAGTGACAATAAAAACCAAATACAAATATTGATTAGTGACTAAACAATTGTTCTTCAACAACCTATTCCTGAGTCCTAAGAGCAATTTTTTGTGTTTATCAGGTGTGTCAAGTGTACATGGTTAGTATCTGAAAAAAAATATTATACGTGTGATTTCCAATCAAATTTTATAAAAATGTGAAGATTTTCTTTTTCAATCTGCTACTCATAGATTGAATTTCATATAAGACTTCTAGATGCTGTTTTCAATTATATTAAGATTATATATTTAAGTGTATTAAAATTTGCACATTCATTTTTACATTGATCTAAAGTTTTAAACTGAATTTTATTTTCTTGAGGAACTATTTCTTTGTAAGAAACTGAAAATAAAAAAATAAATTTTAAGTAAACATTCTTTAGAAGAGGAACAGATTTAGATATTTGTAAATAAACAGACGGTTTGGTGCTGGAAGCCCTTAAAATAATCCAAGTAAACTGTTGTTTTACATTCTTTATGTCAAGT